GCTTGCGCAAGGACTATGCCTAGACCTGGATCTCGACCTATCTCTGGAGGGAGATGCGGAGCGGAGGAACCTTGGGTCATCCGCAAACAAATGCTCGCCATCCGAGTCGGCGGGGGCTGTGGTGGTATCCTGTGCGTCAGTATCACCCTCCTCTTCTGACTCCTGGCTTGCATCCACGGAAGAAGAGGAGGCAGAGTCTTCGGAGCCTTCCGACGCATCAACAAACTCAAATCCGAATGTAAGCGTGGTGCCTTGTTGAACCTCCAAGCGGGTTCGACGCAGGCGACCACCAAGGATGCGCAAGCGCCAGCTGGGAGGCGGGCGACGACCGGCCAATACAAGCAGATCGGCTCTGGGAATCCAAGGCCTCTCCAGCACAAGGTACTTGATAGTTGAACCTACCTGCCGGAGGTCCAAGAACACCACATATTGCGGGACATCAGGGGGCAGGATCCCTGGGTCCACTAGAGCCAGGATGCCCCTTGTGTCCACGCACTGGTGTTGAAGACGGGAGCAGCCGTCCCCCTGGGGCGTGTGGAACTCCACTGCCGCTCTGTCAACTCCCACAAATCTCGCGGCGGCTTCGTCGACAGGGAGCTGACTGGCTTGCACGCGGAACAGGTACCTGCCACTCTGGTGCAAGAGTAGCAGGGCGCGAGGCCTAGAGGGCACCGGAGGTGCGACATCTGGCCTCCATGTGTGGGGAAGTTGCAATCGATACTGCAGATCCGTTGCGGGATTGGGGTGCAGGTCACCGCTAAGAAAAGTCACTACACACCCATTGGCTAGTGTCACTGCCTCGTCTTCCTCCAAGGGGTCAGACTCTGTTCCGATGAACACACGGCAGGGTTGAACGCCGTAGATCCCTGCTTGGCGGCATAATTCTGCCCTGCACGTGGGCCTAGTGACATATACGGCAGCAAGTGGGCCTAAAGAGCTGTTACCCACATCCCGCAAGTCAAGACAGACCACAGAGAGCGAAGAGTACGCCGTCCAGTCGGGTGCAACCAGGAGCGTGGCGATCTCTGGCAGCGGCTGAGGACGAACCGGGATAACCCTATCGCTAAACTTAGGCCGAAGTTCCCCAAATTGCCTTGCAGCCGTATCGACCAAGTCGTCCACATCGCACGGAATGCCAAGTGGAAAAGAGATGGTCTCGGCATGGTATCCGGGCGAAAGCATAAGGGCATGGCACTGGATATCATGCGTAGGAGCAGGAGTAGTTTGCCTGGCGAGGGCAGAAAGCTCCCACCGTACAGGTTGTGGTGGAGGAGGTCCCTTCGGTGGGCTGACAAAAGGGTGTATGATATCCGGCGCCCTGTTGGGTGGAAGGCCTGGACCTTGCGCAAGTGGGTCAGGGGGTGCTGGGTAAACCCTGCCAGGCGGAGCCCCTGAGTGGTCCTGCATCGCGTGTAAAGGCGAGGAGCCAAGAGGTGGCGCGCTCCATACACTGACAGGTAGGCTCCAAACCAGCACCCATCGGAGAAGGAAGGAGCAAAGGCGTTCACAACAGAGAATGTGCGGGGATTTACGCCTCCGAAGATGCTTAGGGCCAACGAGGAGCCTAGGGTAGGTCAGAGGGGACCCCAAGGAAGGGCTAAAAACCCTAAGAAGGTGGAAGACCCAAGAGGGGCCGCTTGCACAGCAGGACAGCTTGCGTGGTCGCCTGCGGAAAGCCCAAAATAGAGGCATCAGAAGAGATGCGAGCAGCATGCCGGCAATGGTGTGCACTATGGCACGAAGGGTATCCTGGACTAGGCCCAAGATCAGAACGTAAGGAAGCTCGGCCAGAGCATGCCGCACCGTGAGTGAGGTAGCTACCCCTGAGCCACCGATGTAGCTTTTAGGCACCTCCGCACAGTCAGCAACATGCTCTTGCACAAGGGACCAACGGAACACAAGTGCGTACCCACAAAACTGCGGCCGTTCAAGAAGCGATACGGCAAGGGAGAGAACCGGGCCTAAACCTGAACTAGGGTCAGGGGTGCGGGTATGAGGGCAGGCATCCGGAAGAAAGGGCTGAGCCTGTGCCAGATAGCAGCCAAATCCAGGGGCGCATTGATCTTGACAGCAGGCAGGCAGGGCCGTACGTGCGAACGCAAAAGCCCAATGCATCCGCACGGCGGCAGAGGAGACAGAAGCAGCACTGAGGCGGAGATTGCAAACCCAACAATTCCAGCCTTCAGAGTTGCTCAGCGAAGTGAGGCCAAAGGCAAAACTGGCCAAAGTAGATTGGAACGGTCCCCAGCAAGGTCGAGGCACATTGGTGTCACTGCTGCGCATCAAAACTGTACAGCGGGTGTGAAACCGCTCGGATCCAAGCGTAGCATTCTGCCCCAGTCGTTCTGGAGGGCATTGGTCAGAGGGAGAAGGGCAACCAAGGCATCTGGGAAGCCTACAAGGCATCCAGACCCCCTGGGCCACAGGTCCCCATAACCTGCCTGCCAGAAGATTGACACAGAGTAGCACGCATGACCCCAGCCTATGCATTGCACTCACATGGAGTCCCTGTCCTCTGTACAATGCCCCAAGCTGTCCTGTCTCTGGAGCTATCATGTCTGTCCTTCCTGACCTGCGCTGCCCCGTGTCAAGGCAGCAATTTCCGCTGGAGAGAGCTCGTGGGCGGAGTCGTCGTCCTCGTCGTCGTCCAGGAAGTTCGAATTGGCCGCAATTGGGGGCCCCCCGGGTGGTGCCAAGTGTGATAGCCCGAAGGGCGTCAGGGCCCTTCCACTGCCAGCGGCTTCTGCCAGGGCTTGCTGCCTCTTGTCTTGAAGTCGCTCCTTGATGGATGTCCGCGGCGCTGTGGGAGTCTTTGCAGCCATAGTAGCTTCTTTGATCCCCTGACGTGGAGGCGCAGCAGAGGTGGGAACTCTCAGTTCCTCCATGATTCTTTGGCCAGGGTGCTTTGGGACCTGACCTGGGCTGAGTCCAGGAGGTACACCCGCACATGTGCTGGTATGCACAGGTGGTGAGGGCGCCGGAGCCGCGAGGTAGGGATCGGTTCTGGTCGGCGTAGTCCCCGTTGCTGCTATGCTTTCCCGGCTCGGCATGGGTCCCGGATTCCTCACTGCACGGCCTCCAACAGGAGGAGATAAAGGTTGCACAGCTCTCTGCCTGATTGGTGTCAGAGTAGTGGCCGGTGGCTGAAAAGCTCTCGCCAGAACACCGTCCCAATCTGGGGCTGCTTGTTCCCCACATTCGGCAAAGAGTCTCGCTGTCTCTGCATCCACTCCTTCGGTTTGCATAGCAACCGGGGCATCGCCTCCCTCGGGAGCTGCATTCTCCTCGAGGTGCAAGGCACGTAGCCCATGTCTGGCCAGCTCTTGCTGGTGTTCCGCATCCTGCTGGTCCTTGGTGAGTTTGTTCATCTTCTGCTTGAACCGTTGTTTTTCCCGGGCGAATGCCTCCAGGGCTGAGCGCTCGTAGTCCTTCCATTGCTTGGTCATACGTTGCCGGGCCTGCTCCAAGCGCTGCACTTTTTGTTCTGCTTTGCGTGCATGGTTCAGGGCTGCCTGGAAAACGCTCAAATAGTCTCCAGCTGGCTGATCGGTCCTCGCTTCCTTGTCGTCGGCATACCCTTTGGCACCATAAGTCCCCGCATCGAATGCCGGGAAGCTCGGCGTGGTGTCCTCCCAGGCTTGCCAGGACTCGTCTTTCCAAGCTTTGGCCCGACTCCGCGGAGATGCATGTGCTCCACGCCACAAGGTGTAAGAGGGTGTATGGTAGCCTTGGCCTTCCCATCCTTTCTCTTTGCCCTTGTTGTCGCGGCGGCCCATAACAAGAGATCGCCAAAGGACCGATCTCTCTTCTGCTCCGGTAGCGTGGTGCGAAAGTAGCACCAAGGTTTGCCGGGCCGAAAGCAGGTTGCCAGCTAAACGCTGACGCCGAAGTCGAGAGCGTTTAGCTCGGGCACGTCGATGCCAGGCAGGTGAGCGCGGGGGCCGCTTATGGCAAGGAATGCTAAAAGCGGGACGTGCGACTCGCGCACTGGGGCTCAATGTTCCGACAAAGCGGCGATTCGAGCCCTGTTTCTCAGACCAGAGCACACTTCTAACTCTTATCTAACTAAACTTTCGACAGCTTAGGGTTTAGGGAGAGCGGCTGGAAGCATGGTATATGGCGCCATTAACGGTCCGGGAATCAGGCATCGGCGCCTTATGATGCACGGCAAGCAGAGAGCACCAACAAGTCCATTCCCAGGCGCCTGTACGGATATCCACAAACAAGAAGGAACACACCACACATTGCAACAGTTGTGCCAACAAGACCGCAACAGTGAGAAAAAGCAACAACAGCATCAACCGACGACGACAACAGCAACAACAACAGCAACAGCAACAACAACGGCAACAAAAGTGGCAACACCAGTGGCAATGGCAGCAGCAACAAAAAGAGGGTTGCCATGACACGAAAGTGCCCCTATCAGTGCCGAGTTTATGACTTTATTCGGGACCCCTCAGGCAGAATGTATTCAGAAATGCAAAGGCTTGAACAAGAGACTGATCTCTCAGAGTCGACATATCATCATACTAGAAGATACCTTCCCCCAAGCCCCAACCTTGTTACACAAAATAAGGCCCCGATATCATAGAACTGTATGAAACCCTTATAGAACTTTAAAACACAGCTGAAGGACCCCTATCCAACTATAAAGCCCCTTTTAGTATTCGGGTTTGCTCGCGATCTGTCCGGGACAAGGAATGCTGCCTCAATTCTTCTGGAAACTCGATGCCAGATCTGGGATTGAGGGTGCTGGGTTTTCGGGTTGAGGATTTTAACGCTTACGATTTAGCGGGTTTGGGGTTGCCACTGTAAGGTCTAGGTCCTGCAGGTCTAGCGCGCAGGGTCTGCAGCCGACACAGAAGCTCAAAATGTCCTAAAACAGCAAGAACTGATCCCGACAACTCTCAGCCCCCCCGACCCTAAACCCTAAACCTAGTTCAGGCCTTCACGCTGATCCCAAAACCCTGCAGCCCTAAATCCTAAAGCCTACATCCGGCCTGGTCACTAGGATGCATGCCTCGCGCGACCATCTCTGCCAGCAGCGACAGGGAGGAAGTCCACAAAACACCTGGTGAAAGGGCCCATGGCTCAGGCTTAGGTTAAAGGGTAGCTATAGGAAGTTATAGGTATATCTTAAGTATTTTGTTTCCGATTCTAAGGCCTTTGGATGATGGGACCTTCGGGTTCCAGGAAGTGCGGCTGAAATTAGGTTTAGGGTTTAGGGTTCAGGGTTCAGGGTTTAGGGTTTAGGGTTTAGGGTTCAGGGTTCAGGGTTTAGGGTTTAGGGTTCAGGGTTCAGGGTTTAGGGTTTAGGGTTTAGGGTTTAGGGTTCAGGGTTTAGGAAACCCCCAAAATAGTATAGGTAATTACTTAGGCCACTATATTGCTTCTGCTTGGAAAAATTGCCAAAGCAAAGCTCTGGGAGTCCCTGATATATTCGATGCCTCAACTCGCCTCAACCCTAGGCCCTAGGCCGTGAAAGTGAAACGACAGACCCACATAGTAGCTCTTGTAGAACCCCTGCCACAAAACCCCGTGAACGAAACCTCATAGTAGCCCGTATAATAGAGCCTTAAAACCTAAACCCTAAAACCCTCAGGTGTAGAACCGTTTCTTAAAGGAGCCGGCTTTCCCCTCAGCTTCGATTTTCGCACGAGTCCGGACCTCGGCTGCAGGCGCTCGCCGCGCTGCCGAAGGAGACCACATTGGGCCGCAGCTTTCGCCTTGGTGGTTGGTGTAGGGTTGAAGGTTGAGGGTTAAGGGCTTAGGCTTGTTAGGGTTTAGGCTTGAGGGTTTAGGGTCGAGGGTTTAGGGTCGAGGGTTAAGGGTCGAGGGAAGGTTGAGGGGTTAGCGTTGAGGGTTTAGGGCTGCCGCATGCGGTCTCTTGGACAGTCTCGAAGCAGAAACCCTTAATAAACCCTGATGCCGGCGAAACCCTAAACCACTAGACACTACATCCTATACCTTCACCCTGAAGAACCTACCTTTTTAAGGACTTATACAAGGAAATCATAATAGGGAACCCTAAAAAGGATGAGACCAAAATTTTGAATTTAGAAAAGGATTAAATTCGAATTTAATTCCCCTCCCGAATAGGGCGAGGCCATAGCATCCATATGGCTTAAATTCGAATTTAACCCTCCCAACCAAGCAGCGGCCACTAACCGGCGGCACGGGAAGGAATTAAAATTCGAATTTAAACCTTTTTCTCGCCCAATCCATGGGGCTAGTTCCAGGGTCTGGGAGTCTATGAGTCGAAGGGTTTAGGGTTTAGGGTTTAGGGTTTAGGGTTTAGATGGGTTTAGGCTTTAGGGTTTAGGGTTTAGGGTTTAGGCTTTAGGGTTTAGGGTTTAGGGTTTAGGCTTTAGGGTTTAGGGTTTAAGGTCTAAGGGTCTGTGGGTCCAAGCGTGCAGTGGGCAGAGTTTAAGGGTCTAGGATTCAGGATTTAAGGGTCTAGGGCTCCAAGGGACCAAGCGTCTAAGGGGCCAAGCCTCTCAAAGTGAAACAGTTTAAGGGTGCTAAGCCTGTCAAAGTGAAAGAGTTTAAGGGTCTAAGTGTCTCGGATTCAAGAAGTAAGGGTGTAAGGCTTTCATGGTCCCAACGTTTGTGGGTAAGACGCTGAAGCTCTACGGGTTTAAGGGTCTACGGGTCTAGGATAAAGAGACCTATGGGTCTGAGCCTCTGAGGGTCAAAGCGTCTAAGTGGCTAAGGCTTACTTAAACGTCTAGGGGTTTAAGGGTTAAGGTCAGGGCGTCTAAGTGGCTAAGCCCTTAAAGCTCTAGGGGTTTATAAAGTTCTAGGATTCAATGCCCAAGGCTCTGGGTAAGCATGTAAAAGTCTGGGATCTAAAGCATCTAAAGGTCCAAGGGTCTGGATGCAGACAAAACCCCAACTCCAAACCCGCACGTGACAAATGGTGCTTTCTCTCAGCAGTCGCGTTCTCGTTTGGCCTTCTTGGCTTGCACTGGCACCTCTGTGGCCTCATAGTGGTTGTAGCCAGAGTATGCCAGAGTAAGCGGAGGCCCCCATAGCTCTTCAGCATTCTTCTGCTATGTCGGGCGGCAAAAACTCACGATCGAATGGCATGCCGTCCCCGCCGTCTTCGTCGTCTGTGACAATCCTAATCGGTCGCATGAGAAGGTGCGCGGCGGCCTGCAAGGTGACTTCGTCGCCCCAACTCCCGTCCCGCGACACATGCAAACAGCTACATTAAGCAGACACGGCTTAGATTCGAATTAAAGCCGTGCGCTGGCAAGAGGACTTGATTCCGAATTTAACACCCTTTCTACCCATCACAGATTACATTCGAGTTTAATCCCTATCGACACCTGAGAAACACACACACACACACACAGGGATTTAAATTCGAATTTAGGCCTTTTCTACCGGGAAGGATTAAGTTCGAATCTAAGCCTCCCAGAGAGGCACCGGAGTCCTAGAGGGCAGAGGCTTAAATTCGAATTTAAATCCCCATTGAATATGAAATTCGGCCTTATTCACCCTAAAAAGGTAGGTTCTTCAGGGTTAAGGTAGGGTTTACGAGCTTTCAATTCGGAAGACCCACAAACGCCTCAGTTCCGCTTCAGACTTTCAGATTTCATGCCGGGGCCGGGCAGCCTAGACCTCAAGGGCCTTTAGGGCTTAAGGTTGTAAGGTTGTGGGTTTAGATGCGGGTTCAGGCTTTTCAGGCTTAGGACGTGGGGTCTCAGGGCACTTTAGTTAGGGTTTGAAAGCTGGAATCAAAAAAACCGTGGAACAGGGCATGTCGAGGCAGGAGCCGTGCCATGTTCATGAGAAGGTCCAGCGCGCTCCTGCGGTTCAACTTCAAGCGGGGTTGCTCGTCTAACTTCAACCACGGTAGTCTGCACTTCTTTTCGGGAAATAATACAGGGACCCTGTGACAAGGGGTCTTCTAACATACATACCTGAAGTGGGCCTACGACCCAGAAACCTTGAAGGGAAAGCCACAAGCAACTCCAAACCCTGAACACGAAATCTTGGAACTGAAACCCACTCCCCTCCCAACCCAGAACCCTATACATCCCTGCACACTAACCCTAAAACCCCAAATCCCGACACCCTAAACCCCCAAACCCAAAATCCCTATGCCCACCTTCCCCCCAGGCCACAGAGGCCTCGGAGCCACGGCGCGATCCAGCGCATTCAGGAGAACGTTGTGACCTTTCAGGCAGAAAGCTCTTCTCCTTAAGGGCTTCTTTTAAAGGGCTCCTTAAAGGGTTCTATAAGGGATCTATATGGGTTTAAGGCTTAAAGGCCTGCTGAACCACATGAACCTTGGTTGGGGCCTCCTTCTTTTGATGTCCTTTTACATGTCCGAAAGATGGGTTGGTTGTTGGGGGTTAAGGCAGGCACATCGAAGCGTCTATCTCTTAAGCCCACGAAGCCGCAGAACCTTTCGGAGCCTACAAGGCCTTGAAGCCTGAAAGCACAAGAGAGCTAGTCGAATCCACTGTACCCGGAATCGGAGACCCTAAATCCTCAGATCAAAAATACCCTAAACCCTGCCTCGAAGCCGTAAACTTGTATAGTACCGCAAGACCCAGCGACGAAGACCCGACAACCACAAATACCACAAGCCTGAAGCGAACACTTCCCAGAGACTCCGCAAAAACATCTAGGCTTTAAATCACATGATAAAGGGATACCTCTAAGTGCTTGAAAGTCTGATCGCTGGCATATCAACAGTAACCCGCTGTACCAGTGAGGTCACACATGGTCATAATCTTCCAACGGGATCGTTGGCAACACGTTTGCGCACCAACGGCCGCCGGCACATTTAGCTTCAAGAACGATGTTGGGTAGGCCCTGGCATAATCTCAAGACCCTGAACCCTGAACCCAAACCACCCTAAACCCTGAACCCAACCCAGGTGGGATGAAGGTAGGTAGGATCCCTTATATAAGGACTCTTATTTTGGTAATATCCCACCTAATTACCTTCATCCCACCTTTTGAGGCCTCCGATAAACCCAAACCCTAACCTCCTTAAACCTCCAAACGCCAAAAAACGGAAGTGCACTACCCTCAGGGCCCGACTGATCAAGTCCGGCGTGTAAGGAGCTACTCCTGAAACCATCTCCTGCAGGAATCTAGGGTTCAGGGGTGAGGGTTTGGGGTGCAGGGTTTAAGGGTTTAAGGGTCTGGGAGGTAGTGCTCTTCGAAGCTTATGCTTGGGTCGATGATGTTGCGCTCCTGATTGCCGGAAGGTTGGATCTTGTCCATGAGGGGACGTCGGATGGGCTTTGCAGAGCTCCCTCTAGTGCCTCAAACCCCCATCCCCGAATCCAGTGGCACATACTTAATCTCGCAGAACTCGGCTCAACCCAAACTCATAGAGTTTTGGATACATTGTAGTAGAGCCTAAAAAGGAGCCCCCAAAGATTAAGCACATGGCACAGACAATTTCGGGCCTCTATGTCACACCCTGTGTCCGGTATACTATAGTAATATAACCCGACCCATGCGGTACATCTTAAACGTCCTCGAACCATAAAACCCCTAAGCAACCCTAAAAGCGGTAAACCCAAAGCCCTGCAAACCCTAAAACCCCTAATACAGCGGGTCCTGCATCATGGAGCTGGCCCTCGGCCAGGAGGAGACGCGGACCCACAAGGTACCTCCGGTAGGGGTATGGCCTTTAGGGGTTGGGACATTGGTAAGGGGTTTAGGGCTTAATACAGAGGTTACATAGAGCTCGCAGGCTCAAGGTTTAGGATTTAGGGTTTCAGGGTGATTCCGCTAAGGGGTGGAGGATCAAACAAATTTAAAAAGGATCAACAACAAATTTAGGCTGAACGGATCAAGAAAAAATCAGGAAGGATCAACAACAAAAATTAGACATTGGAGATTTGCTGCAAACAACGGCAAGTGCTATTCCAATATCTCCGCGTGGCCACCCCCAGCTCGTCGCTGCCACCCTCCCTTCCTACCACGGCGCCTCCCCTACCAGTGGCAGCTCGGAGATCTGAGGTTTGCGCGACGGAGATACTGTAGTTGTGTTACATGCTGGTCTATGGTTTCTATTATTGTATATATATATATATATATATATATATATATATACACGGGCTTACCACTGATATGTGTATAGCCATATATATATATATATAGATATACATTTATTCATTTATGTATGTATGTGTGAATACTGCTACTAGTAACAACAGTACTCAGAATATTCATAATGATACTCATAGGAAAAGATGATAGCATACAAATCACATGATTGTAATAACACTAACAGACTATGAGACAGTATGAACAAAAAACAATTTTTGTAATCAAATCAAAATACTAGAACTGAGAGAAAGAATAGACACAATACTAAAAGGAGACAAGAGTCTGCAGTATTATCGGCGTCTCCACAACTCCGAGGAACGCGTAAGCAAGAACAAGTGCAGGTCGGTGTGTATGCATGTAGGCGTGTACGTGTGTGTATATACAAGCAAGAAGCACAACAAGACAGAAAACGAACGCAAAAACAACAAGCCAAGAAAGCAGTAAAAAGCGGAGCGTACCGAAGCCAAGAAGCCAAGAACCCGAGAAGCCAAGAAGCCGGCAAGGAAGCCTAGAAGCCAAGAAGCCAAGCAGCCAAGAAGCCAAGAAGCCAAGCCGCCCGGAAGCCAAGAAGCCAGGAAGCCAAGAAGCCAAGCAGCCAAGAAGCCAAGCCGCCCGGAAGCCAAGAAGCCAGGAACCCAAGAAGCCGAGAAGCCAGAAAGCCAACGGAGCCCAGAAGCCAAAAAAAGCCGCGGAGCCAGGCAGCACAGAAGCCAAGAGCCCAGAAGCCGAAGGCTGTCAAGCGAGGAAATAGGCAATTTACCTCGTAAGCGCTAAATTGGCTTTTGATCCTTTCTAAATTTGTTTGATCCTTCCTATTTTTTGTTGATCCTTTTTAATTTTTTTTTTGACCCCCCTCCCTCCGCTAAGCCTTAGAGTTCCAAAATCCAAAGCAAATCAATTCCAAAGAGCGAACCCACAACCAGGCGCCTGCAGCATTCAGCGTGACGGTGGACGGGGTGAGGCCTCCCGGCTTCATCATACCCTAAGGGTCCATATACCCAGATAGTATATACTTATAGGCCTTAAAGTAGTCCCTATATAGGTACATTGGGGCCGAAGTATATGCTGTTTGGGTACATGGACCGTTGGGGTCTTTGGGGTACAACCAAAAATCAAGATACTTCGCGGTCTACCTAGAGCACCGGCGGACCTAGTAAGCCGGCTATATTATCGGTACGGTTATGACTACCATCACCCCCCAATTAGGCTACTTATATAGCCCAGTTACAACCTACTTATCAAGTATCGGATTGCAAGTAAAGCCTACTTAAAAGGTCATGGGACATGGTTAGTAACTAGGGTTATAATGAAGGTAATTATACTCAGAATTACTTCTAACCCCAGGTAAGTTACTTATAACCCTACTTACTAAGTCCCATGATCCTCCAAGTAGGGTTTAGGATTTAGGCTTCAACTCGTAAGTTCAACCGTCCTTTCTGCGTCGAGCCGGCTTGTGAAAATGAGACCAAAGAACCGTCCAACCGAAAAAAATAACACTTAGCTACCGGCTAGTCCCGCATGTTTGTTGACGACTTTCTTGCTTTTGACCCAATCAGATCACTGCCCAACACTCTAATCTACACTGCGCTAAACCCTCATCTACATCCTACTCTAAACTCTAATCTACACCCAACCCCCTAAACTCTGAATCTAAACCCTACTTCGCCTTTGGGGAGCAGGAGCCCGAAGATCGCCAAGCCAAACCTGGCGAAGGCATTTCTGGTCGCTCTGAAGGCTTCGGAAAGGGCCCTTAAGGGGAACCCCCTTGAAGGACCCCCGAAAGGAACCCTTAAGGGAACCCTTTACGGGCACCCTATAAGGTTTTTGGGCTTAGGGGTCCCGTGAGGGCTCTTTGGCCTTTTAGGGTTAGGGCGGTTAGGGTTTGATAGGGCATGCCGAAAGAGCTCCTTGCAGAGTTCAATAAGAGTTTTGTAGGGATTCTATGAGGGTCACTGACGAGTTCTATCAGGCTTATGACGGTTTCTAGGCGTGCTATCCGTGTCAGCGCTTTTTGCTGTAGGGCTTCAGGGTGTTTGGACTGCGAGGCTTTATGAAGCTTAGGGTGTGGTGGAGCTCCGGCTTCCTGCCAAGAGGATCATCCTTGAACGGTGTAATCTGAGAATTATGATTGGGGATGCCATGTTGTCGGAGACTATCAGATCACGACCGCAGATACCCAAGTTGCGAGAAGTCACAAATGCCAAACGCCAAACCCCACCTTAAAACCGAAATTGCCCTGACCCCTCTACTCTAAACCCTGCCGTACGACCGTAGACCCCAAACCTCCAAACGCCAAACCCCCATATACCATAAACTCTGAAGCTCCAAGCCTTCAAGCTGCACTCGAAATCTAAACCCCTAAACTCCTACTCCATCAAGCCCCAAGCCCTTAGCAAGCCTCCAGCCAGGCCCATCGCTGCTCGCAGACAGCGCGGCATTCTCGCCGACGATGCTGCGGCGCAGCTTCGCCTCACGAAATTGGTTTAGGGTTTAGGGTATTATACTGACGTAGGCTATACTATACGTACATCGTTTGGAGGTGCAGGGCATTTATGTAGGGACCAAAACACGTACCAATGCTATTCTGGGGTTTCCTTGTTATAGTAAGGTACACCCCAAAACCCTTTTTTAATTAGAGCCGTATTATCACAAATCCCTTATTATAGGCCCTTTTTTGGGAACCCTATAGAAGTGGTAAGGGGCCTTGGGAGCAAAGGGCTGCAGAAGCGAGGTGATGATTGCCACTGCCATAAGGAATTTGCGCCGTAGGGTTTTTGAGTAGGCAGTATACACTTGTATGCAGGTTACATAAAGCAGAGTTCCAAAGCCGCGGACACGCAACATCGGAAACCCCCAATCCTGAAGTTTAGTTCCGCCGAACCCTCCCGGCGATGCTGTGCTTACCAGCGAAGGTTCCTTCTTCCCGAACTAGGCCCACACCCTAAACCGCAGAACCCAAACCATGAACCCTAAAACTACAGACCCCAAACCCTAAACCCACGCCCCAGCCTGACAGCCCCTCACCCCTAAACCCACACTCCGAACTTCATAGCCCCAAACCCTGAACCCACGGGACATCCCTGCCTCGCTAGCTGCAGCTAGCAGTTGGATGGCATCGGCCCAGGTGGCGCAACTGGCCGCAGTGTTGAAACTGACCTCTGCCAACTGAACTGTCCTAAACCCGAAACCCTAAACCCCCAAAGCCCCTAAGCCCGGAACGCTAAACCCTAAACCATAGCATCGTGACTAAATGCCCTGGGCACCCCTAGATCCCCCAACAACCCCAGTGCAGCACCAGAAGTATCTCTTAATAAGGACTGAGAGATCCCTTTCCTGAGTAGTTGGGGTTTAGGGTTTCGGGGGGTTGCAGGCCGAGCCATAAACTCATCGTGCAGGATCACGCCGGCAGATTGTCCGTGTCTTCGGGCTTTGGGCCTATAGGTTTGGGGGTTCCAGGCTCAGAATGTTAAGGGTTCAGGGCTTAGGGGCTCTGAATTTCCACAGTTTAGAGTTTAGGGGCTCCGACTTTGGGAGTTTGGGGCTTAGGCGCTCCCCTCGCGTTTTCCATCACTTTTTCTCTTCCTCGCCACAGGGCCAAACCTCCCCAGGGTCACCGCTTTGCCGCTGGCCCGGCGCACACGTCGCACCCGCTTCTTCACTGGAAGCTTCCATCGGTCAGCCTGTAAGCTTCCTGAGCCCGGACACTTCACCGCCCAAACAAACGACAACTATCAGGGTTTTGGGTTGAACTTATCCCGGAAACATCTGAAGTCTAAGCGCTTTGACGATGTAGGAATCTAGACACCATCTGACACAGTCTACCAACTCCAGGAAGCTTCCATTGAAGAACAATAAGTTTGGAGGTACAGTACGCGAGTCCATGCTCTGAAACAATACTCTGTGGGTACTTCGAAACCTAAAACCCTAAACCCTTCGGAACAAGCTTCCATTGAAGAACGCCCGCAGATCCTTCTTGGGCAACTTCGGCCGCCGATCGTAGAGCAGCAAGCCGTTCTTCTCGTGCTCCACATCATACCTTCGGTTTTGTTTAGGGGTTCCATCAGGGTGGGGATCTGGGTTCAAGGAAAACCCTAAACCCCAACCCTAAACTAAACCCTAAACCCGAAACTCCTCAGGGTTTAGGGCTTGGGGATTACCGTTTGCTTTATGCCTTCGATTAGGAGCGGATTTCCTTTATTCCGGTGTCTTTAACTACAGATGCCTCCTTTGCAGCCCGGCCCCGATAACTCTCTGCATCCTTCACCTAAAGGCTCTGCGAGATCTACCCATGCCCTAATTACATGCTAAGCCCTAGAACCCCCTTGTAAGTTCTACACCATGCCAGAACCCAGAGAGCCCAATACCCCTTACTTGGGAATATGGCTTAAATTATATAGGGCTTCATATTATGATTTAAGCTATATTTTAGAAGCTGCCCCCACCCTGTAATAGTGACCATAAGGATTATATAGGATTATATTAGGGCCCTATTATATTTGTACCACTATTACAGGGTGGGGGGCAGCTTCTAAGCTATATTCCTTAATTAAGGGATACTAAACCCTATAGATCCCTTATAGATCCCTTAAAGGAACCCTAGGTATATTCCCTTAAGGGGGTATTGGGCTCTCTGGGAACCTGGACCGAAACCTTCCTGAGACCCAAGTCAGTCAAAGCTGGGAAGACTGAAGCCTGATAGTGCTCTCTGTGCTTCTTTTAAACTAGGGCCAGGGTTTAGGGTTTAGGGTGTAGGGTTTTTAAACATCAGGGTTTAGGGTTTAGGGTGTAGGGTTTTTAAACTAGGATACCCAGTGTTTAGGGTTTAGGGTTCAGAGTTTAGGGTTTAGGGTTTAGGGCCAGAAGTATCTCTTAAACTAGGGCCCCAAAAAGCACATAGCGATCTGGGGCTTCTTTCAGGGATCAGGGTTTAGGGTTTAGGGTTTGGGGTTTAGGGTTTAGGGTTTAGGGGTTAGGGTTTAGGTTCTAGGATACCCAGTAACCTAAGAATAAAAAGGCCTCTCTTTTTATTCATTGGGTAACTTTATAAGGAACCTGGGACTACAAAAAGGGAATAAGGGTACTACTGGGCATCCTAGTAAACTAGGGCCCCCAAAAAGCACATAAGCAAAAATTAGGGTAGGGATATCCCATATAAACCCCCTTGTAATGAAGCCCATTAAGGTAGGGATATCCCCATAAAATGCTTATGCTTACGTGCTTTCGGGGTCCCTAATAAACCGGCCTTTCAAGGTTACAGTGGAAATTTAGGGAACAGTCCAATAGTTCATGCGACTACTGTCGATCATCATTATCACCATCATCATCCCTGGACAAGACACATCTAGACATAGACTGCACAAACCCCGCACCCGATGCGTGACTCCAAGGTACAGCTGTGTGAGGCAGAAGCCTGCAAACACCGGGTGCTTGTAGATCTCAGACCTATGCTGAGCCAACCAAAACAAAACGAATGTCATTAAAACAAGTGATGGGCTTAAATCGCAATAAAGCTACTATTTGCCAAACCCCTGTGTTTTGGTTCCATACTGTAGCATACAGTAAATGATTTTCGATGAAAGAAATGCTTCTTGGCATACCCCCTTGGGCCATGTTGTAAGTGAAAACAAGACGAACAGTAGTTCCTACTTAAAGGGCCATGGGACATAGTAACTAGGGTTGCAATTGGGGTAGCTATACTTATAATTCCTTACAACCCCTATGAAGGTACTTATAACCTTACTTACAAAGTCCCATGATCCTCCAAGTAGACCCTAAATCCTAAACCCTTATAGTACCCCTATAGATTTCTTAAGAGACCCTTAAGTCGTTCCTAAGGAACACCCAGGGACGTGAGCCCGCTGATCCTCTCCACCGCTTCTTTGGAGTTGCGCACCGGCTCCTCGCGTTAACTTACCTTGGGTTAGTAGGGAATGGAGGAATAGGGTACAATTATAACTACTGTTACTACCATTCTTCCATTCCCTACTAACCAAAGGTAAGTTAAGAACAAGCCGGGTATGCATGTCGCCGGGTTTAGCATTGATGGTTTGGAGTATGCATGCATGCACGCATGTATGTGTGTAAGTATGTATGTACCTGTGTATGTATGTATGTATGTATACATGTATGTAAGACCTATCCCGCTGTTCTCTTGTCGTCGGGGTCCTGGCCACCGAGATATCCTGGCAAAAACTTCTTCGGGTTGGTCCCAAAAGGCCCGGAGAGGTCCAATCCCACCCCGGCATACTCGGCAACAAGCCTGGGCTCAGAGTGAGGTTATGATGTAGGGTTCCTTTAAAGGGATCTATAAGGCACCTTTAAAGGGTTTAGGGCTTAGGGTTTAGGGGAATACTTAAAGGGTCATGGGACTTAGTAACTAGGGTTATAAGTAGGGTAAGTATACTTAGAATTACTTATAACCTAAATTAGGCCACTTACACCCCTACTTACTAACTCCCATGATCCTCCGCGCAGGGTTTCTAATTTAGGGTTGAGGGTCTAGGGGTCAGGCTTATAAGGTTGAGGGTTTCTGGTTTAGCTTGTACGATTCAGGAGTCGTGTGGTCTCGTTAGAAGCCATGAGCCGACAAATTAAAAAAAGGGTTCCGAACATTGACCCAGAAGCAGAGGCTGGCCGGCACGGCCGCCGACGTGCTTGGGAGCCAACGTTTGGAGGACATTGGCGAACTTGCCGGTGGTTTGAGAGTAGTCATGGAAGGACCAGATGTCCGTGTCTACCTCAAAGTCTATGATACACGTTGATGCTATCCGGAGACTATTGAGAATCGTGGCTTCGCTACCCTATCCCTACCCGGGAAGGGCTATACTCAATACCAAGAGATTTGGCTGACTTTAACCGGTAAGCGGTGCAAGTGCAAACAGTATAAGTGCATAAGAATCCGAATATTGATCCCTCGTCAGCCCCGAAAGAAGTGAAAAGTCTGGATGCATGTACCCAGCCAGACGAGTCATGGACGGGACGTCTCTGGAGGTCCCTCGATCGGATGGCCCTCACAACGCCGCAGACCAAGGCCTCGTGCCAGGCTCTTCAGGTTCAGGAGTTGAGGGTCTTACGGACTGGGCTACTTTCCCCACAGTGCTTTAGAGGATTTGAAAAGCCTAGGGCCTGGAACCTCGAAATAGGTGTCCTAGAATTCCATGGCTTAAGAAAGGCCGTTTTTAAACCTCCACAAGGTCTGGGCTCTCCACGAGGTCCGGGCTTCTACCGCGAAATGACAGGCGTCTTAAAGCCAATATACACAGCTTCTCATGAAGTCGCAAGTGGCATGTCAACTCCTGCAACCAAATCCCGAACACGAAACCCAAAGCTGTTCAAGACGAAGCCAAGCCGGTTCTCATACAGAAGCTTGAGTAATTGGCTTTAGAGCCTTTGGGGCTCCTTGGTGTATGCATAGGAACCACAACTCAAAGCACACAAGGCCTTGTGTCGGTTCATGATCTGTGTCCGGCGGTTGGGTGAATACCTGAAACAGAATGAAGCACAAACAAGGTCAAGACATTGTAGGTCAGAGGGTAAAAACGAGTCCTCCGATGCGATCCACACCTGACTGTAAACTCTGAATCTGAAGCCCTAGAACGTGGTAAAACACCGGAATCTACTTCAAAAGCGGGACAAGTTAAGACGCTCTCATATTGCAGTATGAATACTGACTACTACTACAACAGTGCCAGAAGCCAAACCCACACCGTTGTAAAGAAGAACCGATGTCAGCATTGCAGCAGCGCTGCAATCAAGCCGTCTTCATGGTCAGAGTAGGCTTGGGGGGATATCCTATCATCACTTTAATTAATGACGAAATCTGGGGAACAACATTCGTAACTATTCAAGCTTTGTGCTGGAGTTGCTGCTTTGTTTTGCAAATTTCATGCCTACAGCGCTTGCGAGACATCAACCCACCATAACGACGCTTGGGCCATGCACAATCTACGAACAGGAACAAGCCAAGAACTCCGAGTAGCCCAATAAAGTTTGATAACCCGGTTCGAGACAACTGTGCTCCGCCTCGACCCCAAGCCTCAGCCAAAAAGCCATGTAAGCACCTAATGGAGAGGCCTCAATAAGCTTAATACTTAGAATGGGGTTGTGGGGTGTACTGAATTCAGTTAAACCTTAGCCCACCAGAACCTACTTTTTGT